AGCTGTTTAGCTTTAGTCAATAATTGGACAACTCGCTTTTCTGAATAATCATTTCCGCAAAGTCCTCGGGGAGGCCTTTTTGAGGCCATTTCCGCCGTGCGCTTTGCAAAAAATAGCAAAGCACAGTGTGTTTTGATAGGTTTCTATACAAAGTGATGGTTTCACCTCGGTGAAGCGTTAAGTTTTGATAATGTACGGGCCGCGAAAACCAGCCCGCACAGCGTTCCCCATTCCATACACACATATATATATATGTGCAGTTATCCACATATGCCTGTGCATACATGCGTATATATTCATATGTGCAAACGCACGGACTTGTACATAAATGCATGGATGTATATGCATACATTTGTATACATACATACACACATATATACATATACATACATGTACACAGATTAGAACCATGCCTGTACCAATTATGCTGCTTTCCCAACGCATACAGGTATGAGTACGTAGGCGTATCTACATCTATCCTAACTGCAACAATCGCACGCTCCGTCTGCTTTCAACTTCTACTTGCCATGGGGCGCTAGGCAAGCCGTGCCCAAATGATCGGGCTATTGAAACGGAACCCCCCGCTTCAGTGGCTGAGGTCGCACTGGACTTCGGTATCCGGGCCAAGATGCATGTACGTCGAAACTTGAAGCAAACCCTGCGTTGAGGGTGTTGTATGGTTGGCCCCGCTGCCGTTCCATGCCTCTGCTCACCCCACAAAACAAGAACAGGGGCAGGACTAGATGGTGTGTGTATGTGTGGGATCATGGTGGGCGGAAGAGGGTATACATAGCAAGGAAGGAAGAGAGAGAGAGAGAGAGAGAGCAGAAACAAAAAGAGGGAGAGAGAAAGCCCGTAGAGCAAACGGGTCTGCCCTAGCTAGACGCCGGGCCGCGTGAGAGAAAGAAAAAATAGGCGCGAGGAAAGATACGGAGGAGGAACCTGAAGATAAGTGCGAGTCGGAAGCAGGAGAACCATCGAGTACAACACGAGGAAGGGTTGAGGAGGGATGATCAGAGGATCAAAGGATCAAGAGGAGGGCGACAAGGAAGAGGAGCTAACGTAGCGTTGGACAAGGGATTCGATTGGGAGGACGACGCCCGGCAGGCCGACGCCATGGAGGGGAATGATATATCAAAAATCCGACTTTGCGTCGGTTGGAGCAGTGCGCCGGCAGACGTACGGACCAGCCGCCATTGCAGCGTATATTTGCACATCTTTGTCCGAGCGTTTACGCATACGACGAGCGGGTCGTTGTCTGGGAACTGAGCGGAACTCGTTCGAAGCCGAGCTCATCTCCTTGGAGTGGGGCTTGGCGGGAGGGATTGCACGGGCAGGGTAGCTGGCGGGAAGGAGCAGGGCGGCGCAGCACAGTGCAGCGCAGAGGGTGGGTGGCGACACCTGGGCCCGATAGGAGAAGAAGGAGGAGACGAGCAGAAGGATCACGAGGATCAATGGCGAAGGGGATCACGAGGATCACGAGGATCGCGAGGATCAGTGGCGAAGAGGTTGATGAGGTAGCTCGCAGGTGGGAGCCTCTTGCGGACTCTCTTGGAAACCTCTTGGGAGCCTCGGTTGTGCCCTGCTCCGCTCTGCCCCGTAAGACTCTGGTCTATACCGGGGGGGGGGCCTCTGGGAGGCGCCTGTGGGGCCTCTCGGGGGCGCCGCGTGGCGCCATCCCAGAAGCTTCCCGGGGCAAGCCTGGGGATCTTGGGGGGCACCTGTAGCTCAGGAGCCGCACGCCGAGCTGGGTCGGGTACGCATGCAGGCTGGACGGTCGCCTGGACGCATGCTAGAAGGGACACGCCTTGGAGGTATCCTGGGGCCGCTTCTGGGCTGTCTTGAGGGCCTCCTGGGCCGCGTTGGGGATCTCATGGGGCCCTCCTGGGGTCTTCTTGAGCCCCTCTAGGGGCACTCTTGGGGCACTGCAGGTTCTCTTGAGCCTCGTCGGGTCCTCTCGGGCCCTCTTGGGCCCTCTTGGGCTCCTCCAGAAGCCTCTCGGAGCTCTCGTGGGGCAGTCCTGGGCCATCTCGGGGCAATGATGGGGCACTCTTGGGGACCTTGTGGACCTTCGAAGCAATGTTGGATCCACATTGCGCCAACGACTGGAAGCTCCGAAGCGATGCGAAGGCGCCGGAGTCGGGCGCGCAGGTGTGCCCGTGCCCTGTTGGGCAGGGCGAATGAGAATATGGCCTCACATCGTGTGCGAATACAAGATAGACAAGGAACCAGACGCGTGTGAATCGGAAGAAATAGAGGACGTGATAGAAGATGTTCATGAGCCTGGTCAAGATCGAATCGGTGCGGTCGGCCTCGTGGCTGCTGCTGTTGATGGTCGTCGGTAGTGGTTGCTGCGTGTTGGTGCCAGTGTTGCGTTGCTGTCGGTGTTGTTGTGTTGGTGTCGGTGCTGGTGGTCAGTGGTGTAGTCGATGCGGTTGTGTGTAGTCGGTCATGCGCATGCGACCCGAATGATCATACAAATCATTATTGCACATGGTGAATCCTACTGGATGTCCCAGTTCTGAAAGTAGCCCAGCCCACGTGCGTTCTGCAAAGTGGCCCTCCTCGATGTTGTCACCGCACCGCGCTCAAGGCTGGCCACCAGCCGCGGCCAAAGAGAAGAACTCCTGCCCCTAATCCTATCCATGCGTACTGCAAATTTGCCACCATAACACACCTGCACCATCGTGGCATCGCCATCGGAAAGACCATCACGATTCCAAGGGATAATGCCCAACACATCCCACAATTCGCTGAAGGGACTTTGCCCTGTGCCGGCTTTTAATGATCAAGTGCAAACTTGTTCAGCTCAACAATCAAGTGGAAATCCTTAACATGGCGACTCCATTTTGAGAAAACGACCGAAAACGTGATGTCGTACGTCGGCTAAGACTGCTGGATAATCAGGCAAACTAGTATTACTTTGATGCGCGCGCATAGTGCATTTCAGAAAAAATAGCATTATGCGGCACATGCGCCATGAAGTCACCGTCCATTTGGCTTACGGCCCGAAACAAAATAATGATCATTACGGCCCACACTCGGGATCTCCATTGCTTGGATATTCTTTGCTGCAAAACGGAAGCCCGCGGGGGAGTCGCCGACACTTTCTACACACTTGTGTATGATCCTTACCAAGGTGCAATCCTCGTCCAAATACTTGACAACTTGGGACCATTCTGGCATCAGCCCCGCTGCATGTTCGCACAAGGATATCACAATCATCGCTTGATAAAGGAGAGGCTGAAGAGGAGGCAATGGACGACGCCGGCGGGACACGTAAGCCACAGCCTCGCATACGAACCAGGCTGCGACGCTGACGGCGTAAACCACAACAGTACAGACGGGCGGAAGCCGACAGCGGCAAATCGCCATGGACAGGTTACAGGAGATGTAGGGTAAACGCAGCACTGCTTGAGCCAACGTGAACTCTTGAGCCAACGTGAACTCTTGAGCTCCAGAGAGTAATAACAAATCGTACGATTCCTTGAATTGCTGTTTGATTTGTCCCCCATGTCTTTGTTGTAGCGCTTGGAGCCAGGAACCTATTGGGACAGTTTTTTGGATTGGCGGGGCTCTTGCTGAAGAGGATCAGCCAACGTATCTTGGATGGGCTGGATGCGAGAGGGACCTATCCAGCTTCGGCAACCTGGATCGGAGGGGACGGAAATCTACCAGACTAGCCACCTACATCAGAGTTCGCTAACCTATTTGGCACTGGCTATCTTGAAACGCTACAATCTCCAGCCGATGTGCATAGGTAACTTGGTTACATACATTCAAAACAAGGGATGTCACTTGCTGGATTTGGCATCCCTGTGTTCAGTTCTACGATTCCCAATGCCGAACATTAGTCCAAACATCTCAAAGCCAGCCCGCGAATGTAGGACTCGTGAGGGGCAGCAGGACGCGACGGGGAACGAAGAGGAGGAACTAGATGGTGGAAGAAAGGGGAGTACGATGAAAGGATGGGGGACGATGAGAAACATGCCATATACATTAATTCAACCATGTCTGTATACTACATGTGCGTATAAACATGTAGGTACATATACGTACGTGTTTTGTTCATGCGTATATACACAACCATATACATAGTGGGCGCCATTGTTATAGTGTTCGCCGATGTTGGTGTGTGCTGAAACAAGTTCGCAATCTCAGCTCTCACCGTTGCCTCAACCACTGGGAAAACTACACCAGCGGTTATGAGGAGGGCGGTGATGATGATGAGGAGGAGGCGGAGGAAAAGAAGGAATACGAGGGGGGATGAGGAGGAGGAGGGGGAAGGAGGGGGAAGAGTACGAAAAGGAGGAAGAGGAAAAGGGGAAAGAGGAGGAGGAGGTGGAATAGGAGAAAAGAGGAAAATGAGGAGGAGGAGGAGGAACAGGAAGGGAGGGAGGAGGAGGAGGAGGAACAGGAACATGAAGACGAGGAGGAGGACCAGGGGAAGGGGAAGGAGGAGGAGGACGACGACGAGGAGGAGGAAAAAGGGGACTGGGGAGGCGGAGGAGAAAGAAGAGGAGGAGAACGTGAAGCGTACCCAAGACGGGAGGAGGAGGACGAGGAGGAATAGGTGAAGGAGGAAGCGGCGGACGAGGAGGACGAGGACGAGGAGGAGGAGGAGGAGGAGGAGGAGGAGGAGGAGGGGGAAGAGGAGGATGAGGGGCAGGAGGAGGACGGTGCAAGGGGATGGGGAAAAATCCTGGCCAGAGGGGCGGTCCCCCCCCCCCCCTGGCGCGCTGCCACGCGGGGGGCGCTTGGCAGCGGCGGCAGGAAGAGCCGGAGGATGCAAGAGGAGGTCCCTTCCTCTCCTTCCTCCTCCTCCTCCTCCTCCTCATCCTTCCTCCTCCTCTTCCTTTTCCTCCTCCTCCTCCTCCCCATCATCATCATCATCATCCACCTCCTTCTCCTCCTCCTCCTCCTCCTCCTCCTCATCCTCCTCCTCCTCCTCCACATCATCCTCCTTTTCCTTCTCAAGTATCATATGGGCCCGAACCGTTTTGGCATAGCGCCCAGCTCCCCCGCGCCCCCACGCGGTACTTGAGGGGTCTGCGCCGCAGCTGCGCACCCGCGCGACCGCAGACCTTGCCGATAGCTAAAGCAGGGGAGGATGACACAGAGACCTGGGACCAGATGCCGCGGCTTCGGCACGGTTGAGTACAATGATCGACTGAACGCCGCGCACCCGACCTGCCTCAAGTGTGTTCGTCGCGTCGCCTTCTTCGCCCACGCTCCCAATCTCCAGGAGGACACGCCTTGACCTTCGGCACCGCGGAGATCACTCACCTGGAGGACCAGTCGGGTGCAGCGGGCTGCAGGCGCCGCGACGCATCCCGACAGCCGCCCACGGCCGTGGACCACCTCCAACGCGCCTTGGCGGCGACGACGGACCCACCGTCCTGCAGGGGCAGCTCGCCAGGGTCGCAGCCACGGCGGAGGAGGAGGCAGGGCCACCGCCCACCCCCGCTGAGGCCATGAAGCGCGCGGGCGGCAACTACCGAGCTGCTGTCCATGGTCGCGAGCAGCTGGTCGCCAACGTGGTGAAGCTGAGGGGGAGCCTGTGTATGGGGTTAGAATACAAAGGTACAGAACCCCTGATCCGCTGGTAGAGGGAAGGAGGGAAATATGGATATCTTTTCCTCCTGCACGATCAAAGGTCTGATCGATCTAGTCCAATACCTGAGCCCAAACGGCCAGGCGCAGGACAGGTGAGGATAAAAAGTATATATGAGGGTATTACACGGGTTCTATTCAAAACCCCTTCCCGAATCCCGCCTGCGAGGGCAGGACTCGGGAATATGAGAAAAGATCCCGTCACCCTTTTACTCCTCAAATCCTCAGGTCTGTCAGGCAGCTCAGCGTTAAATCTGTATCGCTTCAGCTGAGCCCCAATCGCGATAGCGGTCACGATTACGCAAAAAAAAGGATCACCCAGGGTCCCTGTTTCTTCGCCAAGCACACTTTGGTGCCCCCTCGGTGCGCCCCCCAAAAAAACGCGTCGGCACTCGAGGGCGGAGAAGAATGAGACACGGGTGGGCGGAGAAAGAGGATCTGATCAAGTTAAGGCACCATCAAAAGCTGCCGCGCCTGAGCGCGGCAGGTGTTGCCACCAGCTCTCAATCCAGAGCTGGGCATCATATCAATTTCAACGCAATGTTATCATAATCTAAAGAATGAACAAAACATGTGTATTATGAAGTCGTGTTGATGAACACGATCGCGTTGAGAAACACGTCTAAATCTCAAAGCAAAAGGCGCATGGCCATGCGTAAAATCGCGTTGGTAAACACGAAAAGCTGCATCCGCGATGTAGTTCGTCGCGAAGGTCTCCCGGGGCGTCCTCGGGGTCCAGTGGCGGAACCTATCGTTGTGCAGCAGGTCTCTGACATACACGAACTCGTCGTTGTTGTCCGTGATGTACATCCAGCAGTTGGCATAGTAGCCCCAGTACCTGTGGCCCCACTGGCTGTCCTCTAGGTTCTTGCGCCACCGCGTCGCGTAGTCCTCCGTCTTGCGCGCCCTCTTGGCGCGGGGAGGTGTCGTTGGTCTGCGGCTGCCATCGCCGCTCTGCCGCTGCGCGGCGGCACCGCGCGGCCCAGCGGGCGCGTCGCCCTGCGCGCCAGAGGCGCTGGGTCCAGCAGCATCGCCAGGAGCAGGGCGCGGCGGCGGCGGGCGCCGCGGCTGGCGTGGCCCCATGGCGCCATGAGAATGAGAAGAGTGTGTATCAGGATCGATCGGATCGGTTCTAATCCCTGAACTAACCCCCCTTTGATCTGTAGAACCCATGGCAGGTTCGATGGAGGCAAGCACGGCAAGCTTCCGCTGCGTGACTTTCTCGCGAGTGCCATCCCCGCGGGGAAGGGCAATCGTGATAAGTCCGCGTTCTTGCCTCGTGCCTCTATCGAGTCTGCCGGTGTTCAACCACCATTTCTTCCGACCAGCTTGGCCAGTCCTGACGCTGTGATCGTGAATATCAGAGGCGTCACGCATGTCCTCAATAGTGTAAGCCTTCTCGCCTTTATTGACACGAGCGGCTGTCATTTGGTGGTGGAACTTTACATCGCTCAGGAAACGCTGAACGAGGTTGGCGAAAGGGTGGTATAGAGGTCTGTCGCCCTCAGTCTCGCCCATCAACCTGCAATAGTGTGTAGGAGGGGAGCCTGCTTCGACCCACCTCTTATACCTGTCGCCAGTTTTCTTCGCCAATCTCCTCCAGGAACCCTTTTCCTTACCAGATGCGGAGCGCTGACCCATCATCTGGACCTGCGCCCCGTCTGTCATATACCTGGTGATGTCGTCCTGGGAGAGGGTCGTCTTGATCCAGTGGGTCAACTTCTGGAGGTATGCCAGGCCGCTCTCCGCGGCACCACCTTTGCCGGTAGCACCTACAGCGACAGTATACTGCCAGCAGATATCACAAATTGTACCGTCATCTGTGACGATTCCGAGAGATAAGAAACGATCGCAATTCCGACATCGCGCGATATCATGCTGGATCTCCTCTGGGGCCCCGGAGATCGCAAGGTGCTCACGGGATCCCCAGCGGGTGTCGAGGCCGCTGGCGAGAGCGCGGCCGATCTGATCCATGGCATCTCGATTGATCTCAGCGGTCGGACGGGAGGCGATCGATCGGCTCATCCCCTCTATCTCGATCCTAGACAATCTTTCCCCCGGTAGTCCTGCGTACCCGGAGGTGTCGTTGTCCGCAGTATCAGTGACACCATGGTGTATGTTGTCTGTACGGATGCGGTTAGCCTCTGCCTGCAAGATGGCCTCATTGTCGCCCATCTTACGGTCGATCCTCTTTTTCTCGGCTATGATCTGTAACGTGGTTTCTTGATCTGGAGCTGCGGAGGCAACGCTGCCTGGGTCCCCGGGGAATATCCTGCTCAGCGCCTGGATCGTCCTGATGAGGCGCGGCAGGTGTCTCCACCGGCTCCCGCCATACGGGGAAGCCTGGATTGCCATGTGTCTGGATACACTTTGCGAAGAGATCGCGCAACGTCTTGAGGGCGGGATGGCTCTGATAAGTAGCATGATTTGTATGATCACGTAGCTCCTTGATGCTTTGGAAATCCATTGAAATATGCCTGTGGTCGATTCCCCAATGACCTCTGGATCCAGGTAGTGTACTATCTCTTTGAAGAAACTATCTGCACTGCAAATCGGTAAGTCGCGTGCCCATTTGTGGGTATGATTGTAATCCATGTGGTATATGTCTGTTTTTGGTCCAAATTGTATGTCAAATCGTAAGTATGACTCTATCTGGTCCACCACAATCTTGTCTCTGCCAGCGTGTACCTCGATAACTTGTTTCACTTTTCTCATAGGTGAATCCACCAACAACTCCGAAGTCCAGCGGTATATGCGGTGGTCGTAAGATTGCAAGATCCATATTGTGCCATCCTCTGGGTCGTAGTCGGGGTGGTTGAGGAAGTTTTCTGGCGGGTCGACAATAATATCAAGGATGCTCGAGCCGATGTCTTCATCAGCGTGAATTTCAGCCGATACATCTGCCCTCATGATATCATTGGCTGCTCTCTCCTCATCTGTGAGTGGTATGGTAGATATATCCACAATGACAGTTACCAGAGGCTCTTTGGATTGGCCTGCCTCTTGTCGGGATCCATCGTCTTCTGCAGTGGGATCCTCGGCAGGTGTTGCCACCAGCTCGTCGGGATCGGGTGTCCGAGGAGCGGGGCGCCTGGTCGGTGTACGTGGGATACGTGGCTTGTAAATGCTCGGAATTCCAAGATATGGTAGATTACCTGCGTCTTTATACTTATGGATCTGGTCGCTGCATGAAGAGGGGCCTTCAAGTGCGATATGCATGCGCCTTGGGTCGATGTCGGCACGCACTGGCAAAGCGAAGACAACGCCCTTGAGAAGCATGTTTTTGTCGCAATACCATATGTTTACCCATCGTAAACCGTAGTTGGGAATAGGTATTTGTACCGCAAAGAATGTGTCGGAGACTCCGAAATGAATGATTGGTCCATAAATGTGGCCCTTGGTCATGAGCACCTTGGTGTTGTGGTTGCCCTTGGGGAAGTGATTGTCATAGTGGTAGCAATTGGTAGAGCCCCAATTTTTGATGATAATGAAGTCCCCCATGCGAACATCATTGAACATAGGGCGGCGATTCCAATCTCTCTGTGTGATCTTTGATGTAATCGGTCGCAGGGCCTCCCGGCAATATGATATGGCTAGCAACCATTATGTATCCTGTGTGTTGTGCCCACAACTGTTAATCATAGCACGGACCATCGTCTCATCCAAAGCGTCGGCGTCAGATGTGTGGCCAGCGGGTGTCGCCCCCAGCTGAGGGGCGATTGGCCGCTGGGCCGATGATGCTGAGGCGGACTGTGTCTTTGACTGCTGAGCCGTGTCGTGCGCCATGCCAGTTGGTGCAATCCCAGGAGGGTCGTCGATCATGTCCATGCTCGCTGCGTGGTTGGAGACGGCGAATGGCGATGACTGCGGCGGCTGGAACCACATCCTCTGTCAGGATAGCACCTTGTGCGCCCAGCCAAAATCTGCACCCAGCCTTTGTGGCAATCTCCATGTTGATCACCAGCTCTACCTCGTCCTTGTAGTGCTTGAACTTGCATGGTTGTACCGAGGTGTGAGGATTATTTTGAACGTTGTCTATGTAGGTGCTGGAACTGAAGAATGCCTCCGTGCCTGGTGATCCTCGAAAGTATTTGTCTCTCTGAGAAGATGGATCGATATAGCCTGGAAGAATAATCCCTGACTTGAGGATGCTTCGCCAGGCACGACATGTTGTGCCATGGTGGAGGTGCTTCACGTCTGTCCATTGCAAGCTCTCCCAGCCCATATTCCATGGTTTGGAGAGTGGGTTGACGCAACTGTGACCTCCAACGCATCTGATAGCGATGGCGCTGTTCCAATCGAAGCAGCTGGGGTCGCCCCCGTCGGGGACTGGTTTGGCATATACCTCGATCCGATTCTTCTGCGGGACAATGTGCTTCTGGAACGCACGAATGACAATCATCGGGTAATAACCAGTCCAATCCATGTACCCGTCTGGTTCACAATCCTTTTTGAAGTGTGCTATGGCCGCCTCGGTGGATGGTCCATTGTGGACTGCCCGGTCTTGGAA